AAGGTTATCGTTCGTTTCTCTGCTATACGATCCGAAAGCATGTTCAGAATCCGGTCACCGTTGGTGAGATCAAATTGCCTCCCCCCTAGGTGACTCAGGAAAAAATACAGACAGGTCACAGGTTAAAAGCTTTAGCTAAGTCTACAAGGTCTGCTTACCGTGATTTTTCCAGAGCAAGCAAACATTGGTAATCTATGATTACTTCTGAGCTGCAGACAACCACGGCATGCTGATACTCTCGAACTATCTCAAAATAACATTATTAATGTTCTTCTTGACCTTTTGCTCTTTTTTAACTGTTTCCTTCCAACTTCACCCCTTACACTTTTTATTTTTATTGCTTCTGTGTTGGCAAAGGAAATTGGACTTTAATTCAATCTGGGGATAGTATTAGTTCGGTTGCTCCGATCTAGTCGTGCCCCAAAATGTCCGGAAGTATCTGAGACAAAACAGGTCTACTGAGGTATTGATATTGTTTAACTTACTGAAAGAAGGCTTCAAACAGCCTCTCTTGAAGAAGCGTTGCACTGTCTTTCTGTGAAGGTGTCTTCCCACCAAAATGAGAGGAAGAAAAGCCAACATCCAGATCACTGAACCATCGGCAAAGTTGACTAAAAACCTTGATTCCAAACCAACCAAAAAGAGGGATGCGAATCACACTCACCCACACATTCCTGGTCGTTGTAGTGGTCACCGGCTCAATTGGGTCTCGGGGTGCATTGGGCACCTTGAATATCCAAAGGGCATATGATCCGATGAACTGGTAATCGGCCCTCAATAGATTGCGGCTTTTACACATCGCTTCGCTGCCTTGCGGATCAAGATTTGGCCAGTCAAAGGCTCTCGTGAATTCCCTAAGAAAATTCACTTGCTTTGGCATGAACAACCTTTTCTATTACACAACTGTGTAACGAACAGAAAACGGGACGAGCCCCATTGTCACGAGGACCTGCTGTTCAGTTCGTGGTAACCGGTAACCTGATCCCCGGGACTTGGAGTAGCGAACCACATAAGGCCCCGATAGGTTATGCATGGTATTAAACCGTACGACAGCA